AACTTCGCAGCCACAAACTGCTAGCCAACACCCTGAGAGGACTCCACCCTGAGGCTGAACCCCTAGCAATGTGGATAACCCACCTGAATTCTTTCCTCAATGAATCACAACCCCATTCAGTAGTTCAGAATTGGCTGTCTGTTCCAACCCAGTCGTCCCTCTCCTGACTTCTCCCCATCCCCCTCCACCCACCCCCTCACTATGCCCCCTCCCTCACTGTGCTCTTGGAATCCCTGCTCCACAAATGACAGGCTGGTTTCCCTCCCTCTGCTGGCTCTCACTGAGACTTGACTCCCTCCTGAGGACAGCCTTCATGGCCATCCTTTCCAGAACTGGCTGCACGTTCACTCTCACCTCCTACTCCCTGGTCAGGCGGGGGAAGTTGGACTCTTCGCCTCTTCCTTTAGACTCACTCAGTCCATATCTACCATCCAATCAAAATTCTGGTAGCTATTGCCAAGCAGCCTCCAGGACCCTCCTTTTTCCCTCAGCAAGGTCAGTTTCTCTCCAGCACTCTAGCAGAGGACTTAGTCATATAGTGATGGTCCCCTCACCTCGCACTTCCTCAACACCCCCCTTTGTCAGGACCCCTCTTCCACCCTCCTCAGCTCCACTCGGAGATGGTCAGATTCTTGATCTAGCTCTCACCCGCCAGGGCTCCACCTTGAAACCCCCTTGCCTGAGAATGATCTCTTGTCATTCTACCTCCCCCAAATCCAAACCCTGTTCTTCATCCTCGCCATGAACACGAATTAGTCCCACCAAGCCTTGGTTCTTTCTCAGACCATCACCTGTGCACCGGCTACACTTTCCTGTCTTCCCCCATCTGGAGCCCTTGGCGAAGCTGTTCAGCTCTCCACTGTCTTCTTCCCTCCAGTCCCTGGGTCCCTGATACCATTGAGGAGTTTTCCCTGCCAGGCCTCAGCCTTGAGTCCCCCCCCCCCCCCCCCCCCCCATTGCTCCTCTTCGTGTGCTGCTGAATGAAAAATCATGACCGTGTGCTGGCAGGCACAGTAAACAGGCACTATCCTGAGAGCGGGAAGCGGGGGGGGGGGAGGGGTGTACAAAGAAAGGCAAAAGCCAGGCTCTGCCCTCCAGAAGCCCATGGGCTAATGGAAGAGGTGACATACACAGAGTAAACTGGAGATACTCCACACACATTCCAAGGAAAGCACTAACATTACAGAGACTTGGGAAAAGCTTCTTGGAGAAGGTGGGATTTTAGTGGGAATGGAAGGTAAGCAGGAGGGGAAGATAGGGAGTGAGAGAATTCCAGGCATGAGGGACATGCAAGGAAAATGCCCAAAGCTAGCAGATGCAGTGCCATGCACTGGGAATAGCGAGGAGACAAGTATCACTAGATCAAAGGGTACTTGAGGGTAAAGTACAAGAAGCCCGCAATGGTAGGAGGGAGCCAGGCTAGGAAAGGCTTGACATGCCAAAGGGAGGATTTTATATTTGATCCTGGAGTGATAGGGAACCATAGGAGGTTACTGAGTGGGGACATGACATGGTCATACCTGAACTTCAGGCAGCTGAATGAAGGATGGGCTGGAGGCAGGCAGACCCACCAGCAGCTATTGCAATAGCCCAGATGATGAGGTGAGGAAGGCATGCAGCAGCGTAGGGGCAGGGGCAGAGAAGGGGGAGGCAGAACGTATAGTACTTGACTGCAGATTGGATATGGGGGGATGGGAGAGTGGGGAGTCCAGGATGGCACCAAGGTTGTGAGCGAAGGGGAAGATGGCTGTGCCCTCAACAGCAATAGCTCAATTCAGAAAGGGGACAGCCTTGGAAGAAAATTTAATAAGTTTGTTTTTTGACATGCTGAGTTTAAAATGTCTATAGGACATAGGTCAAGATGTCTAACAACCAGTTAGAGATGCTAGTCTGGAGGTTAGGAGAGAAGTTAAGGCTAAATTAATAGCTCTGAGAATCATCAGTAAAGACATGAAAATTCAATCCATGGGAGCTGATAAGATCACCAAGTAGATAGAGAGAGAAGGGAAAGGGGACCAAGACAGGACCCAGAGGGACACCCAAAGTTTATAAATATAGCCTTGAGGTGGAGCCAAGATGGCAGAGTAACAGGAAGCAGAGCTGTGAATTCTCCCCTGCCCCCTCCAAACAGATCTAGAAAATTCACCAAATGAATTGGAAATCAAGCAGATGCCCATCAATTGGGGAATGTAATGGAATACTACTGTGCTATAAGAAATGATGATCAGGCAGATTTCTCAAAAACCTGGAAAGACGTAAATGAACTGATGCAAAGTGAAATGAGAACCAGGAGAACATTGTACACGGTAACAGCAACACTGTGCCATGATCAGTTATAACTGACTTAGCTCCTCTCAGCAACACAATGATCCAAGACAATTCCAAAAGACTCCTGATGGAAAATGCTGTCCATATCCAGAGAAGGAACTGGAGCCTGAATGCAGATTAAAGAATATTATTTTCACTTTATTTTTTTATGTACTTCCCTCCTTTTGTTCTGTTTCTTCTTTCACAACATGACTAATATGGAAATATGTTTTACATGATTGCACATATATAACATATCAAACTGCTTACTGTCTTAGGGAGGAGGGAGGGAGAAAAATGTGGAACTCAAAATCTTATTTAAAAAAGAATGTTAAAAATTGTCTTTCCATATACTTGGGAAAAATAAAATACCATTAAAAAATGAAGAAAAAAGAAAGAAAATGCACCAGACCAAATCCTGGGGTCATTTTTCCAGCCCAGGTCATCATAGAGAAACAGACAGAGGTGTTCCATGCTGGGGACCAGGCTTGGTATGAGCACCCAGGGAGAAGTCCCACACTGGAGCACTTCAAGGGGGACAGTTTTGTGGCCCACTACCCAGATCCAGGGCAGACGGTTGAGTGGATCTGTGCCACCCCTCGCTCCCTCAGGGGTCTCAGGCAGTGTGTCCCGGACCTCAGGAAGCCCAGATCAAAGTCTTAGCTCCAGCCTCCAGCGCAGAAGAATAACCAGGACAGGAATCCCAGACCAGAGAGGAGCCTGGAATGCAGCCACTGTGAACCAGCCAGAGGCTGAGCCCCACAAGATCACTGTTGTTCAATCATTTTCAGGTGCGTGCCTCTTCATGCTCTCATTTGGGGTTTCTTAGCAGAGATTCTGGAGTGGTTTGACACTTCCTTCTCCGACTCATTTTACAGTTGAGGAAACTGAGGCAAACAGGGTGAAGATGAATCTTCCTGACTCCAGGTCCGGTGCTCTGTGCACTATGGCACCGCCTAGCTGCCCCAGCAGCATCTATTGATGCTCAAACCAGACATAGGGCAAGAAGGAGCATAGCTCAGACCAGGGTGGGCAGCAATCAGACCCGGCCTTGGGTCAGACCACTTTAGGTCCTGAGCCTGAGCTGCCCCTGAGATCCTAGAACAATGCAACACGCCATCCCCCAAGAAAACAGCAATGTGCCAGGAGCATCGAATCTGACACCAGGAAATTGGCTGCAAGGATGAGGAAACAAGAAAGAATCTCACCCTAAAGAGCCGTCATGGTGGCAGACATCTCAAGACAAACCCAGGAGAGAATGATCCAAAACAGCCAGCAAAGCCTCGAAGGCAAACACAGCTTGGATGCACATTTAACTGAAATTCCTGGAAGACATGTGGCAAGGAGTTTACAGATGTTTTTGTCTATTAGATGAGGCACTTGAGGGGAAAAATGGAAAAGCAATTCGAACCTTGGAAGAAAGAACTGGAAACAGAATTAGCAGCTTGGTATGGGAGGCCCAAACCTGCCCAAGCAGCAAACTCCTTGAAAATGAAAATGGACCAGACAGAAGCCAATGGCTCCATAAGACAAAAAGAAATATGAAAACAAAGTCAAAAGACTGAAAAAGAAAATGTAAAATATCTCATAGCAAAAACAACTGAATTAAAAAAAAAAAAACAGAGGAATAAAAATTTAAGAATCATTAGAACATCTGAAGGCCAGAGCCCCTTAATATCATATTTCAAGAAACCT